CAAAATCGGAGAAGTTCCCCCAAAAGTCCTCCCGGAAGGCACTACCATCCTTCTTCAGCGACATGGATCCAAATCAGACTTCTACCTACAGTGCTCAATCACAATAGAAGTTCCCTCTTTCCTTCCATACGTGAGTAAGACTGCTCATGGGGTGCCCGTCTAGCGCTGTCGGACACGGAGAATTAGTCACAACAACAACAAAAAATGCAAAAATTATTTGTAAGATGTTAAAATGTGTATCGCTATAGATTCTCAAACCCCCATCACACACACACCATACTTTTCTTAAGCTTATTGCTGATTTTGAATCCGAAAGAAGAATATTCAATCCCAAAAGTATATGAGGAGAATTTATACCAAGGAATACAAAACAAGAAATATAAAAAAAAAAATAAAGTCATTTCCTACTTTTTTTCACTATATTGCAGAAAGCACTTTATAAATAATTTTCATTCATTTTTTTAACTTTATATGGCGCCATCTATTGGTAGATATATACAACTTAAATCTAAAAAAAAACTAAAATTAATTAATTTAATTTAATTACTGAATTAATATTTGAAAAAACTGTATTAACATCAAGTGTCTTCCACCACAAGTTCAAAAAAAATGTATTTGAACTTGAGTGGATGAATAAAAAGTATTTTATGAACGATTGAAAATTTGAACAGTAGATATATAGGGAGAGGGTGAGCTAATAGAAGGAATTGAAAAAAGCATGAAAATTGAGTTTAATATCAATTTATTTTATCCCAAATTAACTTTTGGAAATTGACTTTTTTTAAGTCTCCATAAGATGCTATGATTTAAACTAACTAGCTAAGTATATTTTATTTTTTAATGGTATTTTGAGATATAAAGAATATAAAATATAACTTTGATTTAAAAAAAAATATTTTTTAAGTGTTATAGGAAAATATTAAGGCAGAAAATTTATTTTATTAAAAAATATAATACTTTCTTACAGAATGCTAAAAAAAATTATTTGTATAAGTATTTAATACTTTTGGTTTTTTAAAAATATTTATTAAAGATTAAGAAACATTAAATAAGAATTTATTGCCGCCGTTCTAGAATTACAATTTTGTTTAAGATTATAATTTTTTTGCTTTGAAAATTTTATACATTGTGAAAAATTTTTAATTGCAAAATTTATTCTCTTAAATAAATATTCATTTTTCTGCGTTGAAATTTATAGCATATGATTCATTTCAATTAGTATTTCTAATTATTTCATGGATAATTATACAGTAGCTTAAATTAAATTAATTACCTAACGTAATTATAATTTCATGCATCCAGCTTTAAAAAGAAATAATAATAATTTAATCTTAAAGGTATATTAAATAATGAAACGTTTAATTAGTTGATGTAAAAATTTTTTTCTTATAAAATGTGCTAAAATGTGCCACTGAAAATTTTTTTTTTGATTTGATTAATATAGGACATACATTTTCATTAATTGTCAATAGACATTTGTTTGAATTTAAATTAGAAAATTGTAATTAGTTATTATTTTGTGTATTTTTAAGGCAATAATTAATTTTGTCCAATAGAAATTTACTAAAAGATGGTATTTGGTTTAGATTAACTATTAATTATCCACAATTATTCTTATACGTAAAGTGAACAGAATGAAACATTAGTATTAGTATTATTATTATTTTATTTATTTATTTTGCTTCTTACATAAGGCTTATCCAGAACTTTTAAGAATTTGGAAAATAATGTTGAAAAATTTATATTATATTTTGTGTGTTATTCCAACAAATTACTTTGAATTATCTCTAACTGATTATGGGGTACATGCTAGTTATTTTTCAAAGCGAAAATATGCCTGCGATTATACGCCACTGCGGATTATAAACAGAAAATTACGTTAATTAATAATTAGTTCTTTGATTACTACTGTCATATATCGTTCGAAATATAAAATTGTGCGCTGATTCAATAATAAATTAAAAATCCCAGAATGAATCGCTTTGACAGTATCCTTAAATAAGAAGGTAAAAATTCGAAGACAAAAGATTAAATTTTAATAAGGTAATATTTTCTCTTTGAGGCCTGATGGTCGAGTGACTAACGCTCTGGCGTTCAGTGCTACAGGTTTTAGAGGCCTCATGGCCAATTGACTGGTACCTTGGCCTTTGGTAACACAAGTTTCAGGTTCGAATTCTGGCGGTGGCATGAATATCTGTGAGTGGTTCGAAATCCACGTTAAACTGTAAGTCCCATTCTAATTAGCTTAAATTGTGCTTAAAATTACCGTAGAGCGACAAACTAAATAAAAAACAAATACAGGTTTCGGTTTCGAGTTTCTGCGTTGTCATGGATGTTTGTAGTGGTTCGGAATCCACGTTAATTTGTATGTCCCTGTCTAATATGATAGTAGAGCGTTGTGCGTAGGTCTGGCAACCCTACTCATAAAAAGAAAATGTTCCTGTCTCGAAATCTGCAATATGGAGATGGCCTGCCCATCATGGGGCTGTTACGTCAATAAAGAAGAAAAATATTATTATTTATTTAATATACAGCATGGACTGGTATATTGTACCTCAATGATCAGACACAAATTACTTGAAGATTATAATTACAGGCAATTATTAAACTTTTTGTTTAACTGTTGTGAAATGTCATTGGAAACATAAAATTGTGAGGCTGATTCAATAACAAATTAAGAATACATGCATGAAACGTTTTTAATATAAATAAGAAGCTAAAATTCAAAGAAAAATATTCGTTTCATTAAATTATAATGAGGCAATATTATTTAATTAATATATGAACATATTTTTAGGTATGCTTAAAATATCTTAAAGTTGATTCTAATAAGAATTTTTCAGATATATTTGATGATAGAAATTGAATAACAACAAATGCACTCTAATTAATTACTTTTTTTTTTACAATGGAATGAAAATAACTCCTGTTTTAATGAATTTAGTTCTTTTCTTTTTAAATATTTCACAATTTTTTACTTTTTAAAGTAGCAATAAAAAACATTTTATCATCCATTCAAGAAAAATGCTAATTTTATTAAAACTCTTATATAATATACATTTTTGTGGTATATATGTTTTTTATACGTATTTAAATTTTCAATTGCTTCGAGGAAAAAATTAATTAAAATTGTATTTAAAAAAAATTTTTTTTCTACAAGATAAAATTTTACAGAAATTAAATTTTATTAAATAAAACATTTTTATGACAAAAAATTAATTTGAGAACGATGTAAACACATTTTTTTAATACTGAAAAAGAAGCAGTTCTATAATTTTTTTTAATCAAAATATGTCTACGTAGGTTTAAAATATTTTTAATATTTATTTTAATTATGTAGAATGGATATAGAAAAATCTGTAAGCAATTTTAATTAGATATTTCTAAAATGTGGCAAAAATTAGATATATTTTTTTAAACACTGCTTCTTCGCAATGCATTATTTATTTCTGCATTGTGCAGGTTCGGCAACCAGATTGTAACCGGGTGTGGTTGGTTTGAGATACTTGGGGCGCAGGTTTGAGAACCCACAGCTTTATTTACACGCGCACAAAAAATTACGTACATACAATTGGATACATACAATATTTAACACATTTAAAGTCATGTAATTGTACATCTTGCAAGGTTTGTTTGAGTTTGTCCCTGTACGATCATTTTGTATCATTTTTGGGCTAATTAGACCGGAAGCTACTATTTAATGTGGATTCCAAACCACTAACAATCATTCATACCACCAGTAGGATTCGAACCGGAAGCCTGTGTTATCAAAGTCCAGAGCCCAAGCAAATTGATCACCAGGCAGCAGATCTTGGAAATAATCTACTTCTAAGCCGAAAACCCGAAACTTGGCTACGCGGGGAATCCTCGAAATATTCTTCCTCTCCATGTGAGAATTGGTAGCCAACTAATTCGCTGGGATGCACTAAATATATTTCCTCTTTGGTTGAGAGACTATAAAATAAACGTTTCTCAGCGGGAGTTCAGGTTGTGCTGTACTTCCTCTAGGGTGAGAATCTCGTATTCAACTGACCCTTTCTCCTGAAAGCCAAAGAGCTCTCTTGCCAGTGTGTGGAAGAAAGCATGGTTACATTTCCTATTTTCTTGGTCAAAAGCAACATAAATATAATTTTAAAATAAATACAATTTCATTCTATTACTTAAACTATTTAAAAATTGTTAAATTCATCTTCATCTGATACTGGAAATAAAGTAGTAGAAATAAAATTTTATGTGAATTTTCATTTATATTAAAGCAAAGTAAGCAATTTTAAATAAATGGAAACTTTCTCAAAGATTAAAGACATTCATATTTTTCGAAAGCAAATCTCATTAGTAAAAATAAAATACTGGAGTATTAGATTTTGACGCTAATACAACAAACATCCGTTTTCTTTCATTTTATATGATGCATAAATAATAAGAGTTTTATATCTTATTGCTCGCAAGAGAAGGAATTTAATCCGATTTTATAAAACAACAATTGCATTTCTTACTTTTTATTTATTTACTTCAAAAACGAAAATAAAAGATAGCCAACCAGCATAAATAACTTGGAGAAGTTTTGAAAGCATTTGGAACATTTTGTAACGCTTTTATGCCTGGTTGTTACTTATAAACCATCTTATATCTTCATACTGACTGCATTCGCCTTCATTGAGAAGATTTTATTCGGCAAAAGAGGAAATATTTTCTACAAATGTAGGATTTGTGTTGTTGTTGTTGTTTCTTATCCCACTTGGCTGGCCAAGCCCACGAGCCCATATGGACTCATGATTGAAGGGGAAGGAAGCAGCTTCTGTTGTGATGGAGCACCCTTAGGTAGAAGCCTGACTTTTGCTCCGTGACGCTCTTACAGTCATAGAAGACCGGGACCTACGGCTTAAAGTGGATTCCGAACCACTACAAACATCCATGGCACCGCCGGGATTCGAACCCGAAACCTGTGGCACCGAGCGCCAGAATAGACACTCGGCCATTCAGGTCCCAAATTTGCCAACGGCATTCCCAGGTGGTCCAAGTACTGACCGCGCCCAATGATGCTTAACTTCGGTGATCTAACGAGAACCGGTATATTCAGCATGGTACGGCCGTTGGCGTAGGATTTGTTTATTCTATAAAGCATTTTTTGATGATAGACCATGAGGTCTCATTAAACATAATAGACATTAGAACTAATTTCATGAGGTCTCATTATACATGATACACATTGGACCTAATTTCATGTCTCATTATACATGATGCACATTAGACCTAATTTCACGAGGTCTCATTATACATGATACAAATTAGACCTAATTTCATGAGGTCTCTTTATACACAATATATGCTATCAGATTTGAATGACAGGTTGTTCTCATTAGTACAAAACACTAATTGCATGTAATATAACTATCCACAATACTCCTTATCTGCTGTTAAATTTGACTGATAGGTTGTTATTAAGTATTTGTCAAAGAATATGCATCTCTCTCCTGGGAACAAAATGCTACAACACTTGCTGCGAAAAAAATGCTACAATATTTCTTCTGGGAATAAGAGACTATAAACTAAATGTTTCTCAGCGGGAGCACAGGTTGCGCTGTACTTCCTCTCCGTTGAGAGTCTTGAGGACGACTGACTCTTTCTCCTGAATACCAAAGGGGGCGAGGCGCTTTTGGCAGTGTATAAAACGCAACATAAATATAATTTTGAAGAAATTTTAATTCTATTCCATTACTTAAAATATTTAAAAATTGTTCATTTCCTCTTCATCTCATACTAAAAATGAAGAAGTAGAGATGCCGTTTTATGAGAATTTTCATTTATATTAAAGCAAAATAAGCAATTTTAAATAAATGGAAACTTTCTTAAAGATTAAAGACACTCATATGTTTCCAAAGAAAATCTCATCAGTGAAAATAAAATACTGGAGTATTAGATTTTGACGCTAATACAACAAACATTCGTTTTCTTTCCTTTTATATGATGCATAAATAATATGAGTTTTATATCAAGAGAAGAAACTTAATCCGATTTTACAAAACAACAATTGCATTTCTTTTTTTATTTATTTACTTCAAAAACGAAAATAAAAGATAGCGAACCAGCATAAATAACTTGGGGAAGTTTTGAAAGCATTTGGAACATTTTGTAACGCTTTTATGCCTGGCTGTTACTTATAAACCATCTTATATCTTCATACTGACTGCATTCGCCTTCATTGAGAAGATTTTATTCGGCAAAAGAGGAAATATTTCCTACAAATGGATGATTTGTTTATTCGGTAAAGCATTTATTGATGGTAGACGAAAAATATGTATGCAAATTAGTATTTAAAATTCTAGAATTTGGTAAAGATCACAAACACTTAATAAGGGAAAGAAGAGTGGAAGGAATTTAAAGCACATACTTCAAAAAAAAAGTTTGTTTTTCTTTTTGAATCAAAATATGTGAAAGTTTTTATTCGCTACGATGCATTATTATTAACGCTTTATAATAAACAACCTCATAACTTTATTTCGAGGATTAACCTTATTTTTCTATTTTTTTTTCTTTACAAATAAAAAAAAAAATCGAAAACAAATTGATGTTTCATCACATTTTTTTTTATTATAGCTTGTTTTTGTTTGCTACATATTTTTTATTGTTATTGAAGTACTAACTCGAAGTAATAGTTTACAAAATAAAGATATTTATGTTTGCATTGAAATACTTTTTTAAAAATGTTACTTTTTAATCATTTACGAAAAATAAACTGTAGCATTTTTTTTCTCACGGGAAGAGTTTTGGTATTTCATTCCCTTGAGAGAGGAATGTATGCTATTTGACAACTATATATAATAACAACCTATCACTCAAATTTGACAGACAAGCACTATTGTCGGTAGTTATGTTACATGTAATTAGTGTTTTGTAGTAATGCGAACAACCTGCTTCTCAAATCTGATAGCAGATATTCGGTATCATGTATAATGAGACTCAGAAAAATACAGAATGTCTCTGCGCCCTCACAGGTCGATAGATTGAATATGAACAATACCATGAGTTGTTCCATCGTGATTGGTAATAGACCAGAGTTGAGAAATGTCTACTCTAACGAGAAGTGAGAAAAGCCGGCAATCCCTTCTTGATCGATTGTCTTAAAAGGAGAATTTTAGTGAAGAAGAGGAGAGTTCTGTAACGAATTGACCAAAAGTGTTGTTTTTCTTTTTTTCTCTGAAGTGACTGAATAGGTCGGAGCTTCCCCATGTTTTTCAAAGGGAACCCCTTATGGTTTCATGTATTGCGCCGTGTGATAATCAAGGATAGATTCGAGGTAGACTCAAGAACTCTGAAAAATCTCCGACCTTGGAGTGAACTGTACTTGCGATTTAATCGTACACTAATGATCAAATTTTATTTTTAATTTTTTCATATCTTTGAACAATACAAAGTTCATTTTATTTTCCTTTCTTAACATTCGCAGTGGAAGGCAAACCTAGGTTCCACATTAAATATTGTTTATACTGATGGATACTAAATTTCTTTTATTTGTCTTTTATAACATTCGGAGTGAAAGACAAACTTAGGTTCCATATTAAATATAGTTTACGGTGATGGGTTCTAAAACTTCTTTTATTTTGCTTTTATAACATTTGTAGGGGAAGGCAAACTTAATAATCGTATTAAATATTGTTTGTATTGAGATGTACTATAACCACTTTTATTTTGCTTTTATAACTTTCGGAATGGTAGGCAAACCTTGGTTTCCCATTAAATATTGTTTGCCTTAATGTTTTCTATCACCTCTTTTTATTTTGCTTTTATAACATTCTGAGTGGAAGGCAAATTTAGGTTCCATATTAAATATTGTTTGTCTTAGGGTGAACTTTTTTATTTTGCTTTTATAGCATTTGAAGTAGGAAAACCTTGGTTCCATATTAAATATTGTTTGCCTCAATGTTTACTATACCTCTTTTTATTTTGCTTTTATTACATTTGTAATGAAAGTTAAGTAAATATTACCTAAGTTCCATAGTATATATTCCATAGTAAATATTTACCATAGTTCCATAGTAAATATTGTTCATCTTAATGTAACCTCTTTTATTTTACTTTTATGACATTCGCAGTTAGATGTAACCCAAAGTTCCACTTTAAATATTGCTTGTCTTGATAGGTGCTATCATCTGTTTTATTTTACTTTTATAACGTTTGAAGTAAAAAGCAATCCTATGTTCCATATCATATATTGTTACCTTAATGTTTACCATCACTTCTTTTTATTTTGCTTCTATATCATTCGGAGAACAACCCTAAGTTCCATGGAAAATATTGTTCTTCTTGATAACTATTATTGCTCTTTTTATTTTGCCAAAGCAACTTATTAGAACACTGAAGTTTTAGTAAGAATAATAATGTGTCATTATATTGCAATCAAATATAGATCAATGCTATTAGATAATATAGTAATTTAGTACTGCTCTGTGGATATTATTGTACGAAGTAGTTTTGAGACTAACCACTCATGAGTTGTATAAGAAGTTATCGGGGATTCATCTAAGTAATAGTGAAGTCTCACATTTTCATTATGGTTACTTAAGGAAAACCTTTCAAGTAATACAATGTTATCAAATACATATAAACTGCTGTACGTTTTATTCAAAAAATTTTTTTTCATTGTTTATAGCATATAATAAGAAGGTCTTTAAAATATTGTAACAACTGTTGGAAAATTATTGCTGGACAATTATTATTAAATAATTTCATTTACATAATTCATGGCAATTTACCATTATAGTTTCGATTTATTTTTTGCTTTACCGAAAAATGGATGTTATTTAGTTGTGTTGTTGTAGTTAAGGTTATTTTTACATGTTCATTTTTTAATTAATATTACTTTAACTGAAAAGTAAATGGAAGTGACAAAACTGTTTACTATGAAATTCCTTAGCATTTAACATAAAGAACTTGCCACATGTCAATACATAATATTTTGTTGTACGCAATTGCATTGCCTTTTTTTTCAGCGTTGTAACATTTACTCTACAGGATATCATCCTGGAAATGCAACTGCAGTTCTATAGGACACAATCCTAGAAAAGTGGAACTCAATTATAGGATGGCATAACATAAATCGAGCAGGTTGCTGGTTTCAGAGAATAATAAAAAGTCAATTTTCATCATAATTCTATTTGTGTAACTACAATTTTGACTAATCTTTACAAATATTCTTAGAAAAATATAGCATATAGCAATTGCAGGCTCTATAAAATATAGCATATAGCAACTACAGGCTCTATAGGACACTATCCTAGAAAAGTGGAACTCAATTATAGGACGCCATAATACAAATTAATCAGGTTGCTGCTTTCAGAGAAAATAAAAAGTTTCGTCATAATTCTGTTTTTCTAAATCTGTATTTCATAATTCTGTTTTTGTAAATCTGTATTTATAGTTGTATTTTGTATAATTTTCGTATTTATAGTTGTATTTTGTATAATTTTCGTATTTATAGTTTATGTAATTTTTTTCATCATAATTCGATTTTCATAGGTACTATTACCACTTTCATTTTTTACAACAATCGCAGTAAAACATAATCTTAGATTCCATATAATATAATTTATGGAATCTAATTAATAAATAATAATATATAATTTTGATGAATCTTTTAAAATATTCATAAGAAAAATATAGCATATAAGAAAACTTCAAAATATATACTCTTAATAATTATTTATTCTTATTACTAAATTAATTTTCATCATTTTCAATTCCCATCATAGAACAAATTTTAGTTGTTCAAGTTTTCTTCACTTACGTGTTTTATTATCAATCAAATCTTTTCAAATAGCATAACGTTCTGTGTCTGCGTGTAATATTTATAAATATATTGCAATATTTGCAATTATTCCAATATTATTGCTGCAATCTTTACAAAAATATCGGGCATATAAATTTTTAGTCTAAGCAAAAATTAATGGAAGGCAATGAAAATAAAAGATATGATTTATTAATAAACCTATTTAAATTACCATTTGTATAAGAATATTTATGACATTTCAAGCATATTAAATATAATGTAATCAAATTCCATTAATTGATTCTAATAAATTTATGGAAATATTCTAC